ATTCTTTCTCACGTACAAGTCAGCTCTCAATTGTACACTAAGTTTGCCATCCATTACAAATTAATATGCGCTAATAGTTTACAGCGGATCTTTTAAAAATGAAAACTTACAATATTGGCTGATTTTTAATACTAATTGACTAATATTTTACTTGTTTTACTTATTTTATCATAGGTTTTTCCATTAATTTTCTATCTTTTTTGTTGCTTAGATGTTAGCACTCAATTGTAAAAGAGACATATTTTCGTCGTATCCAATGATCTTCAACGTTGCATGGACATTAATAAGCCAAGTATTACTAATCGTCTTACATTTTCTTTTACACGATAATGATGGAGGAGAATTTGGGATAAAAGAACAAAAGTTTACTGAGAATTTGCTTTATTCTCCAAAAATTACTTGTTTTACAAACCCTGTAATTAAAGACTTTGCACTAACACTTGTTTCAATAAAGTGAAGACTACTTTTTATATTATATTCATTGCATATTATGTACAAAAATAATACATGTTACGCCATTTCGCCCAGCCATAAATATTCCTCTACTGAATCTCAATATGAAATGATCCACATTTGAACACCTGCTGCTTCTTAAATTAACTATAACCAGATGCTGTACATGTATTCAATGACTAAATTACTTACAGTAAGCCAATTTTTATCGTTGATTAAGCAAAGATATTATGTAATGGCTGGCCATTGGATTGAATTACTTCCCCCTAGATCAGCACATTTATAAGCAAATGGAAATTTATGAATAAAAAGAAATGTTTTTGTTATGTAAGCAGAGGGAAAATGTGCAACAGCAGAAGTCAACTCCGGCATCGGATTTTGCAATTTTCCTTAAATGGACGTGGTAATTATTTGTACGGAAATGCTAAAGCAAAACGACCAAATAATCGCGACATAAGATCCGTTTCAGTGAAATTAATCCGTGTCAGTGATCGCATATAGCGGAGTTCATTACAATTAAGACTGCCATCAATAACGCTGTACAATTGTGCTTGTAACAAAGTCTGTCACTGATGGCCACAGACAATCTTCGCACCTCCTGTTGTCAAAGTATTCTTGTAATGGAAATATAACACTCATGAAGAATTAGGTCTTTTGTTGTCATTTTCCGGACGATTTGGTTTACGACTACCGTCCCTTCCTGCTCTTTCGGTAATTTTGTCAGCGAGCTTTTCAAAAATGTATTAGTTCTATCCGAGAAATTCATTAATTTGCCATGATGATCACAAGTACACTAAAACTATGTAAAATAAGTGCACTCAATAACTAAAATTGTCAAATATTATCTCAAGGGCTCGGATTTTAGCAATTCTATACAATAAGTAAGCAAGGAATTTCAGTTAGAATTTTTTGGAATGCGTTTCCTTTGCATTTTTGAACGGATATTTGAAGCGCAAAACAAAAGAGCACATTAAACTTAATCGAGTAATTGTTAGCTGTTATGTCGTAAAGTTCCTCTTTGGCTCTAAAGTCTTAGTTGTATTACTGATTTATAAAAAATTTTCATCATATTTGTGCATCACATTTCTGAGCATATAGAAAGTAGTTTGATATGGAAAATATCTGCAGCGATTTGTAGGATTTTCGTACATCTAAACTAAAATATTCGCCGTAACATAAAGACGTATTCCAATAATGTATTCATTTACAATTTGCATTAATAATTGCGGAAACTCATAGTCCCTCATCAATTTTCAGAATAGCTATATTACACGGCAAGTTTATATTGTTAATATAATTTCAAATAAGTAATTTAACACGAGCATCTTCGCTCGCCCGCGGTTCAGGAAACTCAATAAAGCGATGGCATTTGCATTGTGTCCTCATTCGTAATACGCACCCATGCACTTTATGACTTGACACTCGACACATCCGCACCTTTTCTTTCGTGTGGCAAATTATACATATTAGGCGTCTGTCCCTTTGCATTGTGAACTGAAAACATCACTCACACGCGCTTAGCTGTTCCGGGTGTAGTTATCTGAACACTGCACTCACCCGCTCCTGTTCTTTCGTGTAGTTAACTAAACACTGCACTTGATCATCCGCTCCTGTTCCTTCGTGTAGTTAACTAAACACTGCACTCACGCGCCGCTCTATTCCTTCGTGTAGTTAACTAAACACTACGCTCACGTGCCGATCTGTTCCTTCGTGTAGTTAACTAAACACTGCACTCACCCGCTCCTGTTCCTTCGTGTAGTTAAATAAACACTACGCTCACGCGCCGATCTGTTCCTTCGTGTATAGTTAACTAAACACTACGCTCACGTGCCGATCTGTTCCTTCGTGTAGTTAACTGAACACTGCACTCACCCGCTCCTGTTCCTTCGTGTAGTTAACTGAACACTGCACTCACCCGCTCCTGTTCCTTCGTGTAGTTAACTGAACACTGCACTCAACGTGCCTGCGTCTGTTCAACCTAGCTGAAACGACAGGCAAAACTTAATTGGCCTAATCTGCAACGTTGTAGCTTCTTTATACTTTTGATTCGTAGAAGTCTGCACAAGCCTTTTGTGACAGCTACTTTATCTGTTAAGAACTAAATGCCACTATTTGGAAAAGAAGTTTAGATAGATATTGTGAGGGTGCAAAATCACTACTTTTGAAATGATCCAAAAAGGCTGGTTTATTTTTCTAAATCTGTAATAAGCAAGCAGCTATATTGAGGGTAAACTTCAGATATGCTATATGTATGGTTTGATTGTCACTCGTGAGTTCATAGTAGAACACATTTTTTAAGTCTCAACATAAATACAGAGGGATTTTTTAGGGTGCAGTCCCAATCTCGGTTGTAGGATATGCTTTGAACCATGCACGACTCATCTATAACAGTATATTATGACATATTGTCTTTGTTATAGAGGTTCCGCTTTTCGTCGCCTATAGCTCGGACAACGATTCGAGTCACGTCTTTTCAGTTCCTGATCTATATATATGATCTATATTAAATGGCGCTAGAAATTGCTTACAATTACAATTCTGTATATATTATGCTTTCAGTTCGCATTTCAGACTAAAATCATCCATTTTTAAACGTGAAAATCATCTTTAACAGGTTTACCGATTCACGACATAATTGAAACAAGTGTCTTTGAGTGTTTTTTCATGCTAAACTTGCATCTATTGCCTCAATTGTGGAATTCAATCAGTAAAATATGCCTGATATGCTAATTCCTTGTAATGTAAATTAGGGCTGAAAACGGTTAAGAATACAAAAATTTCGACACAATTGGTTCATGTTCGTCGTCGCAGATTCCTTACGCCTGAAACTGATATTCGCCTGAATTTATTTTTTCAAACGGCTGCGGGTTTCGAACTCCCAACTGCTGCTCCAATCTTGGTGACCTTAACCACTCGGCCACAAAGAGCTTATATATGTCAACAGAACAGTTCATTCTAGCGCAACTGTTCCTTCGAGACGTGAACAGAACACTCCATTCAACGCAACTGTTCTTTGGTGACGTGAACAGAACACTTCATTCAACGCAACTGTTCTTTCGATCGTGACGTGAACAGAACACTTCAATCAACCGCAATTGTTCATTCGTGATGCGACTTGATAACTTAAGAAAACCGTATCTGTTCTTTCGTGACGTGAACAGAACACCTCATTCAACCGCAACTGTTCCTTCGAGACGTGAACAGCACACCTCATTCAACCGCAACTGTTCATTCGTGACGTGAACAGAACACCTCAGTCAAACGCAACTGTTCCTTCGAGACGTGAACAGAATACCTGATTCAACCGCAACTGTTCCTTCGAGACGTGAACAGTACACTTCATTCAACGCAACTGTTCTTTCGTGACGTGAACAGAACACTGAATTCAACCACGGTAACTGCTCCTGTATAAATTAAACTAAAAACCTTTTTTCCCACGTGTTTGTTCCAGTGTACAAGATTTTTTTTAATCTACGGAAATTTAACATAAGATTCAATTATGGAATGAATACAACTGAAACAAATTCGAGTCATCTTTCATCTTCTAACAATTTGGTTTAGCTATATTCTTATTTAAATTTAGACGGCAATAGCAATGAGGGCAGAGAAAATAAATGCAATCATTTATTCGAATGATATAGTGGCAATCCTGACGATTAAAAAATGCACGTGGAAAAATGTCAAAAGTCGCTCCCACTACTTCCTGAATTGAAAAAAGATGTACTTCATAAATTTTCAGCCAAAAATGAAAGGCCATGAACTTTTCATTGATATCCTTTAGTAAAGTTTAGCAAATATGTTCAATATGTCAATTGGTTGAATTTCGATAAGAGTATTTTGGTTATATGAGCAATGAAAATATCTATGCATTTTCTCCTTAAGAGTTTTCGTTATTCGTGTCATCAGTGAGGCTGATTTATGTTTGAGAAATTCCGTCTGGAAGTTACATTTCGTTATGGAGGATTAAGAAGCCCAATTATTGATATTTTATATAGTTTTTAGTAGTTTAGTTTTAGTTTTTAGGCCAGTTTCATTTGATTTTTTCCTAGCCTGCTGCACCATAAGACGATCATGTGCCAGCTTGGCATGTAAGGCACGCGCGGTTAGATGCTCCCTAGGTTGCCCGAAACTGAAAAAAATAAGGGCTAAATGGGAAGGCGGAGCGAGTTCTCAGTTCTCTATTGGCTGAGAGTCGTGAATTTGAGCTCCGCCTAGCATCCTGCCACCTCGCCACACAAGTGGATAAAGGCAGGGCACGGTACTGAAGAAGTCCATTCCAGCTTCTGAAACCAAGTTAGCTACTTGCTTCACAAGCAGACCAGAAAACCTCCGTGGACGTCGAAAGACTCATTGGTGTTCAAGTGATGTGATTTTGCCAAGTGATGGTCGTGTAAAACAGATTCAACTTCAGTGAAATTTTACGATTAATCACATATTTTGTTTTACCAAACATCCTAGGAGCTTTTGCTCTTGGGTATAACTGATTTCATCAATTTTTCTGCATCTCGAATACAAAACTGCATTTTCAACAAAAGACATTTTTGTGCATCGAACAAAATTTGCTGAGTGCTGCTACAACTGGAACCATCCTAACACTTGCTACAATTGAAAATATATTGAAATGGAAACGCAAGCGCCGTTCCCCTCTTACAATTTGCTGAATCAAGCAGCTACCCGCGGACCTCTCATGGACCCCTCACTCTATCACCATCAGCTGCACAGTTTTCACCAGTACCCTCACCATCAGCCCCTGGGTCCTACACCCAGTCCCCCTGGATCTGTGAGCCCCCCTCCGAGTCCTTATACTTCAGCCAACACTTCGGGGCCACTCAGCGAGAGACAATTACGTGAGTATTATCATAATATATGTAATTTCTAATTTGTAGCTATAAAATAAAGTTCTTCATTCTTATTCCAGCAATTATACTTATAAATTGAAGATTACGCTTTAATGTAATTAAAGCTCGGCTCGTGTTCATGTAAAAACTGTAATCTGTGATTCTGAATCATGAATATATACCCCCAAACCATTCTCCGTTGAAACGCGCGATCAAACCCGGCCTTTCTAGCCCAAGAAGACATCATACTTTAAGTCCTGTTATTTTTTCACATTTTTTTGTCATTCCGATTAAGAATTATTTTATAAAATCAAATAGCTAATTTCAGGCAAACATTCGTTACATAAATTTAAATGATTCAAATTTAAAGAATTGACCTCCAGCCTGTTAGTTAATGCGGTAATTGCATGCACATAAATATCAATTTGATTAATACGAAATTAAATTTTTCTTTTAGCAGAGACTGAAATGCGAGTTTTTTATAGAATTTCTTTTTAGGGTGATGATTATCTTTCGATTACTAGAATTATCGCTCAATTCAATTTAGAATTTAACTTGAAGGTAAAAGTTAAATATTTAGAGAAAATATATTTTCAGAAAATTGCAATTAAGTTACGAATTCGAATAATTTGTATTTGAACTTTGTACCATAATAATATTCGAGACAAAAACAAAGATGACGTCGGTTCTCCAAATTTAACTATGCAATATTCCAACCTAACAAATAGCAAATGAATATGTTGATATAAGAGACTAAATATACGATATTTTTGTTTCCTATAATTTGTATTTGACTAAGTTTGGCTATTTCATACTGTCAGTAAAACAAAAACAAAAAAATCTGTAAAGAGTCTCAAAAATTGAATTAACAATCGACCAATCTGTCTTTTCTATTTCAGTAGTATATGGAAACTTTGAAAGATGAAAAGGTTTGACTTTTAGCTTTTTTGGTGGGGAGCAGAATTACATGAGGGCAAAATTTTTGCGACTTCATGCAGATTGTTGCTTTTTTGTTACTAGTTTCAGGTTTCGTGTCCGCAAAACCGTTCATTATAAGAGCCTATATCATCGGCAAAATTGACTGTTGCCTACTCTTGTACTATACATGTACACGAAATATGTTGTTTTAAAATGCTTTTCTGCTCAACAGATCCTGTGAGGCGAAGTAGCGGGGAGCCTACGGAATGTCCTTCTTCCTCCATCACAGCCACACCTGAAGCCTCTCCCACTGTATCAAATAACATCAAAGATGTCAATACTAAAGGAAGGAATACGGATACTCAGTCTGCAAATTCAAATGTCAATTCAGCGTGTAATAATAACTATAGTAATAGGGTAACTAACAGCAACAATGAGAAGGGAAAGAGTTTTTCTCAAAACAGTGAATCTTCAGAAGTGCATTCGAATCCGAACGAAATTCAGTCACCAACATCACAAGCCACGTCCCCCGCAGCATCAACGCAGTCAAACAACAACAATCAGTCCGTGCCTGATGTGCGGCGCTACAGGACGGCTTTCACTAAGGAACAAATTGCAATTCTTGAGAATGAGTTCCTCAAAGAAAATTATGTGAGCCGCCCCAGACGATGCGAACTCGCGAGAGAATTGAATCTGCAAGAAGCCACAATCAAAGTCTGGTTCCAAAACCGACGCATGAAAGACAAACGTCAGAGGATGGCGGTGCAATTTACATATCCCGACCCCATCACTGCATACATCTTACACTGCGCTACCTCGAACTCTGCTGTACCCTTCCCGGCACCAGCGTTTCCTCATGCAGTTCCATTTTATCAGAGATTTTCTCCGTACCACATCGGGCGGCCGATGCAACTAATGCAGCCTGCATATGCGCCCGAGACCGCACTACCCGCTCTTGCAAGACCGATTCCGCAGCCTGCCACAGCTCTCAGTCATGATAACCTAGAGTATTTCTTATCTCAACACAGACAAACCTCACCAGTTCACGTCAAAGCCACTAGCCCCGCAATCAGCGTTTCATCGAGTCCTCCTCCCACTACACCGTCATCAAGTCCAATGCATCACAAGATTTTCAAGCCTTATATGGATATCAAGACTGCGTAAAATTTGTGTGGGGCTCCACGGCAGATGATTCATTTCAAAACTGAGGTCTTTACAGTCGTACCAAGAATTGTTCGGATATTACACCGGCTGACACTACTCCTCAAGCAGTTATCCAATCATTTGCTCGTGATAATTCATATTTTACAGGCATGCAAGCATTTACTTATAGCAAAGCCTGCTGGTCATTCGAGTAACAAACGCTGAAAATGTATGTTACTCCTAGTCAAATCTTGTATAAAATCCTCATAAAATTATTACTCATGAATCAATCGAGCACTATTTATCTGTAGAAATTCGCTTGTACATAATTATAGAAATATACTTCACGAGTTATACTTATGAAGTAGCTCTACCATCGCTAGTAGCGTACTTTATTCTACTAAGTAACCATTACTACATGTGAATTCATATGCTTAGTCAGGTGTTTGTTATCTCTTCAACGCACTCATGCAAATGATCTACTTCACATGATGCCCTAATATATGAAAAATTAATTGAAAAGAACAATCGAACATTGTTAATATCTTCGTTGTTTGGTCTGCTGATTGTAAATTGTATGTCATCTGATCAGTATGGTCTCAGATAATTGTCGATAAGTGAAGTGTATAGGAGATTAGATCATTCATTAGATGAGCGTTCTTAATTCTTCTGGTTCTGTCTGTGTAAAATATTTTCCAGCCTCTACATAAGTTCATAAAGTGATGCCGTTATTATAGTACACTACGTATATACGAGTAGCGTTACGTACGTTATAGTACGAGTGGACGTGAAACTTTCGCTTCTTACAATAGCATTGTGGGAAATTTTACATTGTAAATATAACATGCATGCTAAAAATTGTCAGAAAACTGAATGTTTGGGATACTTATCTGAATATTTTATTTGCTATCACCATTTTCTCGGTATCCCTTTAAGAGATGAGATATGTTTTCTGTGAATATTATAATTTTCTACGATTGGATAGGCCTATTTTGTTCTCCAGACTTCGATGAAAATAATTTTAGAACAGTGTAAATTGAACTTCTGTCACATTTTCTCCGAAGGGGCTAGAACTTTCTGGATAAAATTTTCGTCAACTGTTACTATCGTAAAAAAATAAAATAAAACTTTTTATACATGTTTGAATTTTCATTTTATTTTTTGTAATGAAGTTGAAAATGAAAATGTATTCCGACGCTTAATATAATTCGCCCTGTACAATGATAAAACTTCATATCAAATAATTGCTGAAACAGATCTCCAGCGTATGACATTAAGTGAAATGATTATCCTCAAATGAGCTCTTGTAACTGGTCTTGCCTATGCACTAGAAAAATTGCGGTCCAAGCGAAAAATAAAACTACCAGTTACAGTTGTCGACGCACCGAGTTGCAAAAATTGCTTCCACTTCAATACTCCAAGACTGACGGGATATTTTCATATTCGCAACAAATCTAGGCTAACCCCAATTTTTTGAACTTAGATAAGTCCAAAAATTGAGTACGTATAATTAAAGAATAACCATTTATTTGTTTAAAGGAAATATGATCGGACAAAATTCGATGCCGCAATGAGTTATATTTTATTATTCAGATCCAGTTAAGTTGCAGTTTCTAAGTTCACGTTTAAAATTCACTTTGTTGAATTTCGTGAACTTAGTTGTTGAATTTCGTGAACTTTGTTGAATTTCATGAACTTGAAACTTTGTTGTCAGAGTTGAATTTCACGCGAAGGACAGTGAGGTATCCATTTACGATATAAAAGTAAGATTTGATAGTAGCCTATACTTTCGTTTCCTGAGTTCCACGTTTTAGCTGCGTACATTTTTTTCCTGAAATAATTAGGCCCATGCAAGTTATTCATTTATGCAAGTTTGATTGAAGACCAGAGAACGCTGTTTCATCTTCAAACGCCAGCACAAAATTTCGTTCAAATATTATAAAAAAAAACAGGAAAATTTTTAGTATTTTTTCTCTGTATGTGTCCTGTAACAAATGTATATTTTTTTGTTTTCTTCCTACTGACAATAAATGTACTAAAATGTTTGTCGATATTTTCGCTCCACCTTCCTCAATTAGTGTTCTTGTTCATAGCTGAGTTTTATAGGAATAATTAAAATTTCATCTCGATCGAAAACCCTTCTCTAGAGAAAAAATATTCACATATTCTAGACTCTTTTCATCGAATATTTAATTTGATGATATTCTGATGATTGCATCAGTAATGAACATGCATGGCAACATTATTATTTAAAATTAAAACAATGAAAGATTCAAATTAAACTAGATTGGCCGGTTTAACCGTTTTATTCGTATATGCATTGCGCTTTATTGGGATACATCATTTAATCAAAAGTTTGCTTGACAAACTTGCAATAATTTGATGATAAAATCAAATGGAGTCGTAAACAGAAATTACAGCTAGTGTAGAAATAGTTTATGATGAAAAGACTCGTAATAATCGGCATGAATTTCACGATCTCGACCCCATCCATTAATTTGCAATGTAATCTGTTTTTCGATATCAAGAAAGATATATGTTACGTATATTCGTATGTCGAAGGATTGAAAACACGATTTTTCGTTTTCCTTTTCTTTATGAAATCGGTTGCTGCAAGCAAACAATATACAAAGTAAAAAATGGTTACATAAAATTAGTATTGCACATAAGGTACGATCAAGAGGTAAAATAATTTATTTCGAACATATACATGTATTTAACACGATAAAAGTCAAATATACACGTTACACGGATCTTCAGAATTAAAACACACGTACCAAACATTTCCTTCTTTATACAGTTTAGAGCCATCACCGCAACTGAAATTCTAGATGCACCGAATAAAGTAAAATGTATGTGACACGCATGCATCAGGCGCACGAAATGTCCAAGAGAAGTGCAGTTGAGGATCAAGAATTTAACAATATATATAGTGAATGAAATTTATTTTTCGACATTTTTCACCATGACTACTTGCGCCGGTCTGCTAAACAATAATCTAGTAATATGAATATTAGAACCCAATAGAAAAATATTTCGTCGACGTCTTGCAAATTTTTACATCCTGCATGGTTTCGACACTCCGCTACTCATTTTACGAAGTAATTACTTTTTTTTTCATATTTTATTAAGATTAAGTCTATCCTGATGTAAGGTTCAAGTTAAGGACGACTCCAATTTGATTCGATAAATTTCCGCCCCCGACTGCCACCTAACCTCAACAAAGGAGAAATGAAAGCCAGATAAACTAGTATCTATTAACCCGAGACAACTACAATAATGACTAACGCAACACTCAACTATTTAACAATTTATAACATGGAACAGATAACTACGAATAATAGGCACACGGAACTGAAAATATGGGTAACTTTATAAAGAAACAATATGCTGAAGGCACAATAACCTTAGGACGCAATATGCTGAAGGCAAAACGCTGATGACACTATGCTGAAGGCAATACACAGATGACACTATATGCTGAAGGCAATACACAGATGACACTATATGCTGATATCGTGGAGAGGCGCGGCGATCCATCGTGGAGAGGCGGCGATCCATCGTGGAGAGGCGGCGATGTATCGTTGAGAGGCGGCGATCCATCGTGGAGAGCGGCGATCTATCGTGGAAGGCGGCGATCCATCGTGAAGGCGGCGATCCATCGTGAAGGCGGCGATCCATCGTGGAAGGCGGCGATCCATCGTGAAGGCGGCGATCCATCCTGGCCTGGGAACAAATACCGAAACAAATACCGATTCATCCGAAATCGTTCATCCGAAACAAATACCGATAGCCTAATAATGTCTTCATGCATCGTGTAATTAGCAGGTATAGCACTGATGAAAAGGTTGCATGCATAAAGGATTAAGGTTGAATTCTGATAAAAGGGACGACGCCTACATCTGGCTTCCAACGTTGGCCATTCCAAGTCATGAAGAATATGTTTCACAAACTGGAACTTTGACGGAAACGTCAAACGTCATCCACCATGCTGTTCTGCGTTATACTTTTTTAGAGAATGATATCTTCTGCAGTCTGAAGATTCCAGCGTTATCCCAGTTTACGGCCGGAGGACTGTGCAATTTGTATTAAACCGACTTGATGCATGGTTTTGCAGGATATCCTGGCGTTTCGCCTGATGGAGCCATGAGTTAAGTTTGCGTCGATGGTTGTGTTGGAAATGCGTGTGAGGTCCCCATTTTTTTAGCGCATTTTCTCATTTATGGAAAAAAAATGCGCTATTGTGCTCGTCATGTCACTTAGTCCGTGACTTCATGGACGGACGGACGAGAAAATGCGCTCTCTGTCACTCACTGCAGTGAGTACTGATCTCATTTTTGTTCTTTGGGAGTGTGACGGCAATTGACACTTCATCCGAGTCTGTATTCGACCCGCAGTCTGCAGCAATATATGAGTCTCCCGGCCATTCTATTACACGGACAAAATTATTATAGCATCATTAAATGCCACACATGAAGGGTCTGTTTCACTAAAATGAAAAAAATATGAATTAGACATAAATCGATTTATTAACAAAATATATAAAGCTTGATTATTTAAAAAATAATATTCTAATAAACATCAGTCATTGCGGCATGAATTATATTAAAAATGGCAATATTTTCAGACTTAAAATCTATTTTACACGTATTGACAATTGCTTTCCCAGGAATTCACGCCGAGAGGAGATGGTAAAACTTAGATCTGATCGAATATTTATAGGAACGACGTATATACGTATACGCTGAGAAATAGCGAATATATTTAATAAAAACAAGCAATTCTATATTTTATGAGCATCCCATAGTTTTTGATAGATTTCTTCATAATCGGCAGCGTGATGTAATCAAAGCTTTTAAAATTTCTGTAGTTATTACCTACCATTCTTATTCCAATAAATCACACAATTAATGCTTATATATGTTGGTTTGCCGAGCCTTTCTCTTCTGTAATTTTCTAGAAATTTCCTAGAAGTTTAGATCAAGGCTCTGGGTTGACCTCTGTTCTGTACAGCATGTTCCTTCATGCATCTTATAGAATGGCTCGATTTTTCCACGTGTATTTATTTCTTTTAGAAATGAAGAAATCTTTAGCCAAGGCGCATGTTTGCTATACAGCAGGCGGACGGAGCAGTTGTTTGTTATATACCTCAGCATATATTTCATGTGTATGTATAGAGAAAGGAGTCAACTTTTACCGTAGTGAACTGAAAATTAATACAACCGCCCAATTTTCCTTTTCTTGATAAATTTAGCGCGGAGATAATTCCTCACCTGCTGAACGACATGAGTAAATGATGCCGTCAGAACCACGTAATACATATAAATGAATCGAATCCATCAGTGCAAGCCACACGCATTTCTCTCGCGATTTACAAGGGTCTAATGTGTGGACTCAATAAATCTGACTTACAAGGGTCTGATGTGTGGACTCAATAAATCTGACTTACAAAGGTCTGATGTGTGAACTTGAAAATCTGATTTACAAGGGTCTGATGCTGTCTCTTATACACATCTAGATGTGTATAAGAGACAGGGTCTGATGTGTGGACTCAATAAATCTGACTTTCAAGGGCCTGATGTGTGGACTTGAAATTTTGACTTACAAGGGTCTGATGTGCGGTCTCTGACTTACAATGGGTCTGATTTATTTACTTGAAACAATGACTTCAAGTTATCGGATGATTTACTTGAAAAAAAATACCTTTCACGTCTCTGATTTGTGAACATGGATGAGAATTCCAAATTAGAGATGAATAA